CATGAAGACTTGTGATCATCTAGGGAACAGTAACTTAAAGTTGATCTGTTCTCCTCACTGTCACCATTAATGATGTCAGTCTGGGACGCCGAGTAGCGTTACGAGATGTGTAGCTCACAAACCTTATTTGTCTGGAAATGCTGTCTCAGTCTAACTTTCAGTCAACCTAACGACAGGCTGAGAGCTGGAGCTGAGGCGGGTTTTAAACCTCCTGACAAACCGTTACACCGCGCCCACCTGTCAATCAGGTCAGCTACACGCCTTATTGTGAATAACTCTTATCCTTCATCAAATCAAAACTGATGAGTCATCAAAACATTCACCCCCCGTACAGTGTGTGTCCATCCAGACATGAGCTAATCACACCTATTTGGTTTTTTGAACCAGGCTGTAAACATGTTCATCTCTGCTGTAAAAACAGGCTTTTTAGAATGGGTGTGTATGTGACTTCCTGTGTTCCTGCAGCCAGCCTCTAGTGGACACTCCAGGAACTGCAGGATTTTTGCTTAATTTCTCACACTGGAGGTTGCGCCTTGTAACTATCAGATAAATTGATGCCAATTCAGTGGTTAAAATGCTTTTGGGCTTCGGCAGGGTCAAGATGCAAACACAAATGTTGTGTAAAACTTAAATCATGGTAAGATGTTAAACTGAAATATCTAAAAAAACCTGATGGAACACACCTTTAGTTTCACTTTCAGTCACTTCATTAAAAGATGCTGATTTGAGTATCTGATGAAATCCGTTGGCAGCTCCCTCTTCACTAAATGAAAGTTCTTTAAAAGATATCAGACCTCTCCAGGATAATCCGGTGTGCCAGTCAGAGGCTTCTTCCATGAAGCACCTAGCCTATCCACCAACAGCACCACCTGGTGGAGAACATCATTCTGTGTTTACTCTCATTACAGTGATGGTAATAAGCTCATTTAACCAGCAGATATTCATCTCGTACTGTTATCTTGTAATTGACCACAATGACAGGCAGACCTTTAAAATAAACACTGACGGGGACCAGAGCGCGGCGGGGCCATCGCTCTCCACGAGTGATGACCCCCCTCCACTATCTCCATGTTTACGTGGTGTTTGCAGTCACTTCCTCGGGGTTGTTAAGCTGATGTACAGTTGACAGAAACAGAGGGAAGCCAGATCGACAGAGGGAGATTGTTATGACCTGATAAGTAGAGAAATGGAGTCAGACTCTGTGGGATTAATGTTCGCTTTACAAAGATTACACTCTAAAACGATTCTTATTCTGTGAAGCTGGTGACAAATCTTTAACTTTCTGCACAACGTGTCATAGAACATTCAGGATTGTGTAACTCTGACAACATGTGAAGTCGTCTCAGGATTACCTCCTTTTAGTAGATATACTGGACTTTTACACCGTCACCTTCCTGACGCCACCGAGCCAGCGAGAGATGTCAGGGAGAAACAGTATGACGCGCCACGCTCTTTTTACCCCGACGCACTGCTTCTGTTTTCCTCTCAGTCGCTCTCGTAGATGGACGAGGAAGGAGGAGCTTTACGAGGCGCTGCCACTCGCTCTTCTCCCACAGCAGAGCTCGTTAGCTTGTTTTACAAAGTGGAGATAGCAGCGCATTAATATCTGAACAAAACGTCTTTCTTAACCGCGAGCTGTTATGTGACGAGCGTCTGAGTGTTGTGAGTTGATGATGTGTTCACTTGATCTCCAATAATACGAAATTTGCAACTCAAATACGCCCCTTGAAGTCAGAACTCCCACCTGAAAACTCGGACTCTTAACTCAGCAGCCTCTACCATCAGCGTGTGAATGTGTGTGAATGGATGAGTTAATACTGATGGACTCTTTACTCAGCGGCCTCTACCATCAGCGTGTGAATGTGTGAATGGATGAGTTAATACTGATGGACTCTTTACTCAGCAGCCTCTACCATCAGCGTGTGAATGTGTGAATGGATGAGTTAATACTGATGGACTCTTTACTCAGCAGCCTCTACCATCAGCGTGTGAATGTGTATGAATGGATGAGTTAATACTGATGGACTCTTTACTCAGCGGCCTCTACCATCAGCGTGTGAATGTGTGTGAATGGATGAGTTAATACTGATGGACTCTTTACTCAGCAGCCTCTACCATCAGCGTGTGAATGTGTATGAATGGATGAGTTAATACTGATGGACTCTTCACTCAGCAGCCTCTACCATCAGAGTGTGAATGTGTGTGAATGGATGAGTTAATACTGATGGACTCTTTACTCAGCAGCCTCTACCATCAGAGTGTGAATGTGTGTGAATGGATGAGTTAATACTGATGGACTCTTACTCAGCAGCCTCTACCATCAGAGTGTGAATGTGTGTGAATGGATGAGTTAATACTGATGGACTCTTTACTCAGCAGCCTCTACCATCAGCGTGTGAATGTGTATGAATGGATGAGTTAATACTGATGGACTCTTCACTCAGCAGCCTCTACCATCAGAGTGTGAATGTGTGTGAATGGATGAGTTAATACTGACGGACTCTTTACTCAGCAGCCTCTACCATCAGCGTGTGAATGTGTATGAATGGATGAGTTAATACTGACGGACTCTTTACTCAGCGGCCTCTACCATCAGCGTGTGAATGAATGGATGAGTTAATACTGATGGACTCTTTACTCAGCAGCCTCTACCATCAGCGTGTGAATGAATGGATGAGTTAATACTGATGGACTCTTTACTCAGCAGCCTCTACCATCAGCGTGTGAATGAATGGATGAGTTAATACTGATGGACTCTTTACTCAGCAGCCTCTACCATCAGAGTGTGAATGAATGGATGAGTTAATACTGACGGACTCTTTACTCAGCAGCCTCTACCATCAGCGTGTGAATGAATGGATGAGTTAATACTGACGGACTCTTTACTCAGCGGCCTCTACCATCAGCGTGTGAATGTGTATGAATGGATGAGTTAATACTGACGGACTCTTTACACAGCGGCCTCTACCATCAGAGTGTGAATGGATGAGTTAATACTGACGGACTCTTTACACAGCGGCCTCTACCATCAGTGTGTGAATGGATGAGTTAATACTGACGGACTCTTTACACAGCGGCCTCTACCATCAGTGTGTGAATGGATGAGTTAATACTGACGGACTCTTTACACAGCGGCCTCTACCATCAGTGTGTGAATGGATGAGTTAATACTGACGGACTCTTTACACAGCGGCCTCTACCATCAGCGTGTGAATGTGTATGTGTGACCTTCGGTGTAAAAGCACTTTGAATTATCAGAAGATTAGAAAATAAATATAGAAGCTAGTAAAGCTGTTAGTTTTCCTTCGGTGCTTTCTGCTTAAATACTTTCTGAAGAGAAGATTCAGAAATCCGACTCACTCGACTCTTTGACTTACAATAATGTGACTTCCACGGCTCCTGAGTGTTTAAATCCACGGCTGTGTTAATGTTGGTTAATCTTACCGTGACAATTGATTGATCACCTTTCCCAAGTGTGCAGGATCCAAAGGATTAGCGGTGTTTACATGTAGTAGCATGCTGGGTACCTCCGCGGTTAATGACTGAAATGAATAACCTGCTGATGCCTATGAAACGGCTTTGTTTACACACAGGCAGAGACATGACAGCCCATCCTGGGTATGAGTGGTTGTAAAAGTGTCTGCCCTCGCACAGAAAGGTTTGTGTTTATATGTCACTGATGATGATGGGAATCTTCATTTTAGACTTTAAATTGATCCTCTACTAATTCATTTACTTTCTGTGGGTTTGGTCTTTAACATCTCTGAGTTATGTGACTAACTTGAGATATTAATAACACAGCCTTTACCTTTCTCCCTCGCTCTTTCTCTGCTTCTGGATACACACACACACACACACACACACACACATACATGCACGCACACACACACACACACACACACACACACACACACACACACACACACACACACACACACACTCACTAAGGGGCATGAGAACGGGGAAAATCCTTGACAGCTTCAATGAAATCTCACACAAAGAGTAAAACTCGGGGGGACGAGAGAAATGCAACACCGTACAGTAGGATGACCTCCTCCAGCTACCATAGACGTGTATGCACCAGATACCGGGCGTGGCCGCCTCTCAGCACAAAGCCAAAAATAAAGAGCGAAGCTATTGCTTTCAGCAGCAAGACCCCCGGGTGACCTTCTCCATCGACCTCTTCATGACCCCATAGTGAGCAAGGCGAGAAGCAAAGCGCCCGGTATCAGTGCACAGGAGTCGAATGCACATCACAAAAGGTAGAAAGTCTTTGTCATGGTGAGCTGTCAGTAAATCAGCATGGAGGTGACAGTCCCAGTTCTTGGTCCTGGGTGCCCACCTTAAAGACCGGCTCATAAGTCAAACTGTTTTCTCCGTCTCTGCTCTCTCAGTGAGTGTAGCCTGAAGACTTTGTTCCTGCTTCGTCTGTTGCAGGTCAGATAGAGGTGCATGGCTTCAGGGTTCACCTGTACTAGGTTTACACGGAGGAATGTGTCGCATCAAGAGCTTTAAAACCAGCTGGGAACGGATCACTTCCACCCGCCTAGAAATGACTCCTTTCAAATATTACAGCTCAATAATCATGAGCCCCAAATACACTAAGCCAGGGGGTCTCACCTGGTCTCCTTCTGGACCCCCCACCAACTCCTCAAAGGGAATCAACCAGTCAGATTTATGAAAAATGTGCAGTTTGGACCTCAAACTAAAACATAGGACAGAGCAAAGAAACGGACAAAACAAACGTGTTTAAAAAGCGCTTCTCTGACTTTTTGTCACCATTACTCTTTCCAGTCGCTCGTTCTCGACTCACTGAAAACAACTCTGCGTCCCACTTTTGGGTCCCGACCCACCAGTCGAGAACCGCTGCACTAGGCAGATCTGCTTCCATCCGAACTCAAATGTAAACATTTATCTTTTGACAGTGAATCCTGCGAGTGTATAAATGTGTTTGTCCTCTGAGGTCGTTGTTTTCACATCACGCTGTGTTTCGTCCACAGTCGACCTGGAGCACATGAGGACGGTGAAGAACGACAAACACCAACGTTTCTGCCAAGAGAACGGCCTCATCAGTCAGTTTGTATCGGCCAAGTCAGGGGACTCGGTTAGTACCTGCTAACTCACTTAGCTGAAGTAGAAACATGGAGTCCCAGGTGGATTTAACCTCTAACCTCGTCATCTTTCTTCAGGTGTTCCTTTGTTTCCAGAGAGTGGCGGCTGAAATTCTGGGAGTGAAGCTGAACAAAGCAGAAATCGAGCAGTCCCAGGTGAGCAATAACCACAAGCAGGTCGTAGCATTACTTATTTACACAACAGCAGGGTAGAACATGAGTGAATGAAACTGATGAGAAATCACTTTTTAGTCAAGGAGTGAAAGTCGTGTGTCCTCCCTCCTGGAACAACATGTTACTGGTGAACTTTGGGGAGGTCACAGTGAGTGTGTAAGGTCAGTGAAGGTCACCACACACTGTAAAGAGCTTTTGTTGTGTAAACAGGAGTTTGTTACGTCTGCCTCCTGAGATGCTTTACCTGACGCTGCCCGTCTGCAAGCGGAGCCACATTGACCACATTAGCGCGTGAAGTCAGAGGTTAGAGGAAGGCAGTCAGAGGGGTGAGGAGGTTAGGATTGGCTGTCTGATTTATTTGGTTTATCTCCCACCTTTTTGGGGCAACGCAGGGTCTCAGACTGCCAGCCAGACCAAGGTGCCCAATGGTGGAAGCATGAGGATTTACAAGGTCACCTCCCCCAGATGCATTAATCCTGGTCTGATATGAGCGCTTGGAGCCACTGTGGCTGGGCAGTGGTTGATGAGCCTGAGAGGCCACAGAGAGGTCAGGACCCTCAGAGGAGGGAGAGCATGTAAGGGAAGGGCTGGTCAAATTCTCAAGACCCTCTCCCATCACCAACACGGAAAGTGACTAATGGAGTTTCTACTTTCCTCTCCCTCCCCCGCTTTGATAGCAGAGTGTGTTAATCTGGATGAATCCAGCAGGGGGGGGGGACAATTTACTCCACTTAGAAAACTTTAGTTTAAATCAGAAGATGTAAGAGAAATGGTTCACTGTCACACTGCTGAACGCTAACCCTCTTCAACCAGTCCACACTCAGTCTGTTTTCATTCAGTCTTTATTTCTGTTTATTATGTTTGATGTGTTTTTGTCCTGTCTCGTGTCATGCATGTTTATTGTAAGTTACACAGAGCTGTGTGTTTTCTCTGCACTTCTGCCCGAGACAAACTTCAAGAAAGTATTTCTAACCTCACTATATCTTAATCTAATACTGCTGCAGTTTCAGGAAAATAAAAGTTATGAATTCATTATCGGTTACATTTCAGACATGATTAGCAGCAGGAATGCCTTCTGATTAAAAAAAATAACAGCTGTTTTCACAAATGAATTTCTGAAAATGTAGGAGGACTGCTCCTGAAATCCTCCTGACCTGATCGTTCACACATGCACCTCACAGCAGGAGACAATCCCCGTCAGACAGGAGGGGTCTCCCACTCGCTCCAGGTGAATTCTCCTGATTGTCCAGAAAGTGTAAAGAGGAAGTCATTTCAAAAGAGAGGTTATTGTTTCATCTTGATGAAGGCGTGAAGCCTCACTCTGACGTCCTGGATGGAGACGAGGCTCTGAGCAGGTTGTGGCGCTGGCTGTAGCTGGGGGGCCGGGGAAGCCTCATTATCAGCTGTCAGCTTTAGAGAGCAGAACATGAGGGTCACGACCCCTGACAGTATTCTATCTGCCTGGCAGGCCTCTCCGTCATGCTCCTCCGTCTGCTGGATCAGATAGCGAGGCCTCACTCGGATCACTCTCTGACTCCGACACCAGCTCGTTAATCAGCCAGCCAACCAGAGCCTGCCATTCAGCCGTGTGGTCTGGTGTCGAGGGGTTAAAAAAGTGAAGCAGCTTGTTGCACCACCGACATACATCCACACTTCTGTTTTTTTTACAACGGCTTCAGTCGATTACAAATGTTTCTACAATTAACAGGTTTCAGTCAAAAATAAAACTTTGTGTTCACACCTGCTCTCTAAACTTCCTGAAGTTTCTCAGTC